ATATGCTCCACTGTTTTTTTCCATTTATAAAGTCGGGTCCAGAGAAGTCAGTAGACTATCAGCAATCTCAGGATCTTCGGAATCCACAAATTCTTCATACAGTCGTTGACTTTCTTCTGTCCAGCCTGGGATGTACTCCTTTTGAAAACCACGAGGTATATGTTTTTTGGCTATGGAAAGTACTAAGCTTACAAAACGGTGGTAGTTCTTGGCTTTCGGATCAATAAAACGGATGCAATCGTCAAGTCTTTTGGTGTATTCCGGCCAGTTTGCTTTGTTAAAGTTTCAGCGTGGTCTTGGTGTGGATTCAACGATAGATATCTGTACTCCTATGTCGATTATGATGGAACGATGCTGGCTGTGAGGGAAGTCGTGGAATATCTGTGGTGTTTGGGAGAAACATAATAACTCCAAAATAGCGAAAATATTGTTAAGCCCTGCATTGCATTTTGGTTTTGATTTCAGGTTAATATTTTCACAGCTGAAAGCACTGAATAATAAATTGAAAAGTTTTACCGACCATTAGACGACGTCATAAAAAACTTGAAGAAACAAAACATGACGATCGTAATGGGAGATTTTAACTAAATTTTTATGAATTGTGTTTATGTAAGAGCTCCTAAAAAAATTTTATCCGTTCCAACAATGATCTAATCATTATCATTAAATACGAATCAAAGTTTCTCAATAACATCTGATTTTTTCATTAATTGTTCAAAAAAGTAGTAATGTGATAATTGCCTCTTAATTACCATCTTTCTAATATTACTACGATTCTATTTATCAACAATTAGCTAGAAAGCTATAGCAAGTTTAAAAGTTGTTATTTTACCAGAACTAAAAGATATGACTTTTATGTTTTGCTGATGCTTTTCTAAATGTTTTTTGACGATACCAAGTATATTTTTTTAATGTTCTTCTTAGTAATTATTGTATTTTCCAGTGTTATTTCAAAATAATGACGGCTAAAATAATCTCAAAAAACCGACAATATACATAGTCGACTTCGTTGATAAATAATTAAGTAAATTTTGGTGTCGAAAATACAATTTATATTATGTTTACGCACAACATTCCGTTAAGGTCTAGGGCATTTTTTTACAACATAATCCTAATATTAACTAATTTCAATTATTTTAAACAAAACTTTAACTTAAATATGTATATATGACATTCTTAATTACTCTGAAGGACCTGGTGTACAATATTTCTCAATTCGCTTCTATTTTGTACTTTTATTTTCCAGTTTCTCACCTTCACGTGTTTAAGGTCTTCCTCCGCTTTACTAATCCACCTCGTTCTGGGTCTACCTCTTCTTTTGGACCGATTAATTTTCTGGTTATTATTAGTTTAGGCATTCTGTTTGCTGCCATTCTTTCCACATGTCCCAATCATCTGAGTCTTTGCGCTTTGACGAACTTGGTAATGGTAGGTTCTTTGTATAAAGCCATTAATTTATTGTTGGTTCTTCTCTCCCAACCATCTGCTGTCTTCCGTCCTCCGAATATGCGTCTCAATATTTTCTTTTTCCATCTTTAAAAAGTATCCTCTTCCTTCTTATTTAATATCCATGTCTCACCGGTATATGTTACTGTGGGTCGAATTACTGTTTTATATATTTTGAGTTTACCTTGTCTAGAAACGTATTTTGAGTTCAGTAAGACTCTTAAACTACCTAATTTTTATTCCCTTTTGCTATTCTGGCTTCGAGCTAGAAATTTCTCTTTTCCGTTTTCATCGAAAACTACACCCAGGTATTCAAATTTGTCCACCCTTTTAAAACTATAGCTTTTACCACAGCTACTGATATACTAAAGTGTTCTTTTTTTCCTTCTGTCCCTCCCATGATCATATAGTTTTGTTTTCATTTAGTTACAATCCGAATTTCTGTGCTTCTTCGATGATTTTCTTCACAACTCTTCTTAACTATTTCTCGGTTTTTGCTACTATCGTCAGATCGTCAGCAAATGCCAAGCACTGGTGCTCGTTTTTCATGATCGTTTCTTCCACCTTCATGCTGCATTTTCTAATTACAGTTTCTAACACTAAGTTGAATAATGTAGTGGATAAAGGATCTCCCTGTCTCAAGCCTTTTGCAACCGTAAATTAATCTGATATGTGACCCTGCCAAGCAATTTCACACGTAGAGCTATTAAGTGTCATTTTAACTAGCCGGATCAATTTCTTTGGTATACCCAAATGTTCCATTGCTCGATACATTTTGACTCTATTGACTCTATCATATGTTTATCTAAAATTCACAAACAAAACATGCAGGGGAACTTTACCTTCATAACAAGTCGTTTGTATCTTCTTTAATGAGAAGATTTGATCTACACTACATCTATCCTTTCTAAAGCCGGCCTGATATTTATGCAGGATTCTTTCCATGTACCAATTAGTTTATTTCTAAATATTCTTGCCAGATTTTGTATACCGTGTCTAATAAGGCTATACCTCTATAGTTGTCATACTTCAGTTTGTCCCCTTTTTATGAAGAGGGCATATGCGGGCCTCATACCACTCCGATGGCATTACTTCCTTTTCCCATACTTGCAATAGTAGCTGATATATTTTTCTTTGTAGTTGTTCTCCACCAAACTTGATCATTTTTATGCATATGTCATTTTTACCAGGATTTCTGTTATTTTTCATTTCTTGTATTGCTATCACCACTTCCTCCTCTGTAGGCTGCCTTTCAACTATCGCATCTTCTCCAACTGTCCAGTTGTCTACTGCTTTTTCTGCCGGATAGCTAATTAAATCTCCGTCTTTACGTTTCATATAACTACAGTGGCTTTGGTAACCTTTTCCCATCTTTTTAACTTCTTGATAGAACGACCTCACCTCTTGTTTTTAAATTTCTCTTCTATCTCTTTTAATTTCAACTCATTGTGGTTTCTCTTTTTCTTTTTACACAGAGCTTTCATCTTCCTCGAACATTATAGAAACACTGATCATTTTTTTAAGTTCCGCTTCTATAGAGAATTGAAAATCATTCTGTAAAAAATTATTAATTATTATGGCAGTTATAATTTTGGTCAAAATTCATCAACGTTAAAGTAAGGTTAAAATTTGAATAGATGAGGCGAATTCTTAGCGCCGCTCGGTACTACAAAGATTTTTTTTACATTTTTGGATACATACATAAATTGTTCTGAAGCTATTTTCTTGTGGCATTGTAAATTAATTACTATGTATAACTGGGAATAAGCCACAATTAAAGATAAAAATACGTTTATTGACGTTTCAATTTCCAATTCGGAAATCGTTCTCAAAATACAAATAGTAAATTAAACAAATTTTGTTTTTTTTGTTACATAGTAAAAAAATTCTTTTAATAATTTAATTTTATCTGACTCATTTATATTGACAATTCAGACATACATTATGCATTTTAAAGTAGACGACTTTAAAATGATATTGCCAATATTGTTGAGTTGCGCTCCTGGGACGACTTTACTTATAAGATAGTTCATTCGATTACATGAAATCAACTTTAACTTGAGAATATCCTTATATTAAACTTATATTAACTTATATTAAAAATAGAGAATTCGATAGATCTTCCTAGATAAAGCCTATACTTCCTATTTTAAAAATTGGGGGTTGTAACCTTCGATTCTAAGGGGGTTGAAGGTAGGGGTTGCATTTCACGGTAAAGAATGTCAAGTTATAATTTAAATTTGACGCGTTTCGGGATTTTTTATAAATATGTACAGTAACCTAAATAATGAATTTATTCCATTTGGCTTTTACACACTGTATAAACAAATTACGTATTTGTAATGAACATAGAAATTAAATACAAATTAAAAAAGAATGATCAAAATCCAGTGAGAAGATCCGGAGATATAGAAAATTTTATTAGTTTAAAATTGTTTGTTCGGTATTTAAACTCCATGGATTTGTAGGTTCTTCCTAGTACCTATTTGAACTAAATTTTTTTAAATTCGCAGAGGGTCCTGTAAAGATACAATGTTTGTGCAAATTTTTTAACAAAAAATACAAATCCCATTCTTTAACATGGCGGCAATGAGGTTCCTTCATTATTATAATCAAATTAGCAGTGAATTAACAAAAAAACATGGCTAACTTTGGCCCAAATTAACCTAGGTAAAATTTTTTTATTTGGAAATTTGGGTGAAAATACTAACTTTTTAATGTAAAAAAAGATTTTTTCTAATGACAATGTTTTTAAAGTTATTTTAAATGTTTATAAATTACGTAATTTAAAAAATTTGGCATCAGATTTTGACTATAATAAATCATTTTTTTAATACATATTGATAGTATAAGTCTTTTGCTTTCATTTGTCACCCATAGCATTACCCTATCTTTATTATTTTCTGTCTTATGTTATTGTAAAAAAAGTAAAACAATTGAGATAAACAAATACAATAACTTTTAAACTAATTAATATATCGGTTCCAAATTTTGAGGGTTTGTTAAGTCCCCCAATACCCAAGTTTGGGTGGAACTTTAAAGTTTAAGTTTACTAAAAGTTTTTAACAAATATCAATTGTGACATATTGCAGTTTGCGAAGCAACAAATTGACTTTAGAACTGTCAAAATCGGGATTATATAATATTATAATATTAATAACAATAATAATATAATAATAATAATATAATATATTAATAATATAATTATACTATTCTAAAAAATAAAAAGAATCATCTCAATATCTACCATAAGTTTTGCGTTATTTGATATAAACTTTTACATTGAAATTTAGCTATGCCCAGAATCGCGAGGAACAGCCTTAACGGATTCGTACTATCATTCTCAAGAGGACAAAGTGGAATGATAGAATTGTGCTACAGAAAGTAAACTTTTATGTGAATTGTTTCCATTGAAGTTTGTTAATAAATGTTGTACATTTTTTTGGGTTAAAAAATCCACAATTTGTACTTAAATTTTATATTACAGTCGCGCTTTACAAGGAGATATTAAAGTAATACAAGTACTTAAAATATTAAGTATATCCAATAATATATTACCCTCGGAATTTTTTAATTACAGCAAAGTCTAACAAATCTATAAATACTTGTTTCGGTAATTGTTTGGGTAGTTTTTCAATTTTTTCACACATTTTGTTATAAAATTCTTCCTCGTATATTTTGTAATGCTCTTGCATTCCTATTTCCTCATAAACACTCAGGACATTTCTCGTCGCAATTTCCCCACCTTTTCCGAAGTTTTCACAAAATTTTTCTTTCTGACTTTTTGTGCCGTATTTGTCTACTTGGATTCCTAACCACGTTACTCTGCCTGTAGAAACGTCGGTAAAATCTTTCCCTGTTTTGTTCATTGGTTCAAATGCTCCCCACATATCGTCCTGGAAATATAGAGAAGGATGTAAATAATAATTAAAAACCTTAAGAACCAAGAGTATTATTGAATCACGTATTTCAGAAACCCCAAAAATCACAAATTTATGAAATTACAGTTTTCTGTAATTTTTGGTAGTATATAGGTATACGCATTTAACAGTAAACAGAAACCCCAAAACTCACTAAATTTACATACATTTGTTGCCAGATGAAAATTTCATGTATTGCAGAAACACCAAAACTCCAGGAATTTTGGTGTTTCTAAAATATAATATTTGAACACACTGATTTTTGACATGACAGGTTTTTGTTTTTGAGGTTATGCACATTATTTATTTGTGATCTCTACATATGGTTAGTTGTTATTACAGTAAAAATTAATAATAATTTAAGTAATGGAAATTGAAAATCAGTCTTCAACGCGCAAAAAAAAGCGTGGAATACGTAATATCAGTGAATATAAAAGAGAAGTTATTAAAAACTCTAGAGTTAAAGGGTCTGCCTATAAACGCTGGAGTGGTGTCTTGGCGCCTGAAGTGAACCAAGGACCAGACTGCAAGTAAGCCTTAAAACTTTAAAATATTACTAACTAGCTAGACAATATCTAATATTTTATTATCGTAATTTGAATGATACTTATTTTTAGATGTCGCCAAAAATGCTTTTTACAAATTTCTGAAGAAGCACGCATTCAATTATTCCGAAACTTCAGGAGCCTTAACACCAAGAACGAACAAGATTGTTTGCTACAATCGCTTATTTCAGTCCATGAAGTTGCACATTGAAGGCGCAAAAAACCAGCTGATATTTCTTGCAAGCCTGATAGACTAGCTTCTTTTAAATATACAATTCAGGGACCAACAGGTACAAATAAAATCTGTAGAAAAGCTTTTATTGCCATTTTTAGCATTACTAATGATCGGTTGCGTCGCTTAACCACGTTAAGACGACAGGGGCAAGTTCCTATAGATAAACGAGGTAAAAATAAATCTGGCAATGCGAAGTCAGGACTTGTTATAGATTCAATCATACAACATATTGCTTCGTTTCCGGTCAAAACGGCCCATTATACTAGTAGAGAATATAGGTATCTAAATGAAAAATTAAATATTTTTATAATGTATAAGTTGTTTAAAGAGGTTCACCCAGAACAAAACGTTAAATATTCATATTATCAAAAGATTTTTAAAGAACAATTTTCATTATCTTTCGGTCGCCCACAAGTCGACACCTGCTCTACATGTGAAGAGTTAGAAACTAAAATAAAAAGTAAATTCTTAAATGAAACAGCAAAAAGAGTGGCACTGGCAGAAAAAATGGTTCATAAGAAACGGGCAAACAAATTTTATAACAAACTTAAAACCATTTCAGAACTTTGTAAAGTAGATGAGAATGTAGGTGGTATTTGCATTGATTATATGCAAAACCTGCAACTACCAGTTATTCCTGTCCAGGAAACATTCTATTTAAGACAACTTACTGTTAATGTTTTATGTATTCATAATCTGAAAGATGATAAGGTAACATTCTATGTGTATCATGAGGGAACAGGAACTAAAGGGCCTAATGAAGTTGTATCATTTTTATTACATTTTCTTGACAACAATCCAGAATTTAAAAATATTAACCATTTTCACTTCTTTTCTGATGCATGTGCCGCCCAGAACAAGAACCATACAATAGTTAGACTTTTTTCTGCATTAGTTTCAACCAATAGATTCAAAAAGATTGAACAATATTATCCCACACGGGGACATTCATTTCTACCGTGTGATCGGGATTTTTCCGTTCTTAAAAGGAAAATTAAAAAATCAGACAGGATTTATACCTTAAAAGAGTATGTAGAGCTTATCATAACATGTAACAAGAGTTTAAACCGATTTACTGTAGTTTTGCCGAATTCTGATGACATATTGAACTTTAAAGGATGGTGGCCCACGTATTTTAAAAAGACAATGCTCTCCAATGAATCTTTGGGCAGAAATATCCCAAGAGATCAAAAAATTGCTTTTAAAATATCCAACTTTCGACACTTTATTCATTCGAGTGATCACGATGGAATTGTTATTGCAAAAGAGTACATAGATGGCTTGATACAGCATTCTTTTCGGCTACGAAATAGCAACAAGGATGTTATTAGTTTCCCTACCAGAAAAGCGTACACCGAAGGACAATTCCTATTAATATCAAGAAGATGCAAGACTTGAGAAAACTGGAAAAGTATCTACCAGATAATGAAGAAGTCAAGGCTTTTACGGAGAAATTTTTAATTTGCCAACATGCGAGGGAGATTCAAATGAAACAATACAACCAATGAGTGATTACTACTGATATATTATTCTGTATGCCCATATTTTTGAATAAATGTTTATATAAAACTGTTTTCTTATTTTTACATCTTTGAAAATGTGTATATTTCAAAAACCCCAAAAATCCACAAAAGTAAAAAAGAAAAAAAAAACATAATATAAAGCTAAAATTCACCACTTTTTATGCAAACTGATTAAAACACATTAATCTCATGATTTTATTACAAAAGCACAACAGGTTTTTAAAAATATTTCATGAAATAAGGTTTTTTCTAATTTCTCAACATTTTATAAAAATGGAGTTATGGGGTTTCTGAAATATGTGATTCTATAGAAGTGATTAAATAGTGTGCATAATTCTGGATCTGAGTAAAGGGCCAAACTCCATTTTTGCCTTTATTGAGTTTTCTCAATTCTCGATTTCTTAATTTTAATTTCGGGCTTATTTTCAAATCAGTTTAAATTAAAAAGGTCAAAAGAGCACATATAATTAATTGCTCATTCTACTTAACTAAAGGGCCAATATCCAGTGAGCATTGGACTTTGGCCTTTTTATTCTTAAGTCATTGAAAATTGGCCTTGAGTCTATTTTAACAGTTACAGTGGAAAAAAATAAATAAAGTAAACGAGTGAAGCGTATTCAAGATTGGAAGCAACTTAAAAGAGAGGAACCAAAACACGTACAGGTGAGGAATATAAAATTAAAAAGGAGAAGATAAAGAAAGAAGATAGGTACTACAGATGAAGAAATTAAAAATCGAGTGGGTCAAACCAGAAACTCTATAAGACAACTGAATCCAATCCTATGGGACAGACACATAACAAAAAATAACAAAAAAAGGATTTATAACACGACGAATCTCAGCATTCTAACATATGGAGCAGAAAATTGGGTCTTAAACAAAAGCAGCAGAAACAAAATAAACGCTACAGAAATGGACTACTGGAGAAGAAGCTGCAGAGTTTTCAGAATGGACAAAATAACTAACGACGAAATTAAAAGAGTAATGGAGATAAAGAAAGACACCTTAAATTACATTGAAGGAAAAAGATTAACATGTCAGACGAACAGACCCAAACCGATGGATAGCAAAAATAACAGAGTGGAGCCCCATAGTAAAACGCAAAAGAGGCAGACCAAGAAGATCTTTCAGAGATGAGGTAGATGAAGCCATGGAAAGAAGAGGATTGGAAGATCGAGAATGGGAGGACAAAGAAGAATGGAGAAAATGGTTGAGAGAAGGGAGACAGCGACAGAAGCAAATGTACAGTAGCATGCCACTGTATTCGAAATGGTTATGATAAGATTGGTAATGCTCGAAGACATAATATATTTTCGCAATTGTACCAATTAAGTAAACCCGATCAAGATGAAGTGTTAGCGAAAAGTGTGGAAGAAAAACTCAAATATGGGCAAAGGCTGTATCTAGAAAAAATCGAAAGCAGAAGGATCTTTTCCTAAAAGAAATGTTAGATTCTACTGGAAATTGAACAAAAGTTTTTCAAAACATGTACTAGTCAAGGACCTATGATATTTCTAATAAAAAGAGTGATTGTAGAGAAAAAACGGGTCATGGTGGGGTATGTCTACCAGGTGGAAGAGGAATGCATAAAAACCAACACAAAATTGCTGAACAGTTGAAAGATATTGTTCGCGATCACATAAGAAGTTTTCCAGGATATACCAGCCACTATTCACGTGAAAAATATTCTAAGCACTATCAGCCCCTAATTTTAGAAGATACTCATGAGGCCTGTAGTACTGTAATCTTAGCATTTTTTTGGCTTCTGGCTTTCTAGGAAGTACAATAAACTCAGATTTCAGCCATTCTGTTGATATTTCTCCAGAGTTGTGTATGTTGTTGAATATCTTTGCGATTATTGCTATTGATTCGTTATCTATTAGTTTGAGTAGTTCTGCTTGTATATTATCAGGGCTTGCCGCTTTTCCATCCTTTAACTGTGTTATTGCGGAATAAACTTCCTGCTGTAATATTCTTGGTCTATCATTTACCCCTTCGTTTAGCTCAAGGGTGTTATCTCTTTGGTCTTTTGGAAATAGTTTTTCTAGATATTCTTTCCACGTTCTTATTTTACTCTGTTTGTCCAAGATTACGTTTACGTCAGAATCAGTTATATTTCCTTTCTGCTTTGTTTTAGTCCTCCTGTAAGTTCTTCAACTTTCCTATGTTATATTATGACATACGGAGCAGAAACTCTCACAAAAACAACAGCACTAAAAATGCGAGTGGCACAAAGGAGCATGGAAAGATCGATTCTCGACGTGACAAAATAAGGTACCAAGAACTAAGGAAAAGAACAGGTATCACTGACGTCGTCGAACGTATAGCTAAGCTGAAATGAAATTGAGAAGGTCACATAGCGAAACTAAAAGGCTCAAGATAGACCAGAAAACTAATTTACTGGCGCCAAAGAGAAGACAAATGCAGCAGATGATGACCACCAACACGCTGGATGGACGACATTAAATGAATATCCAAGAAATGTCAACAAGACTTACAGAACCGTGAAGAGTGGCGAAAAATGGAAGAGACCTATGTCCAGCAGTCGACAGAAGAAGTTGCATGGTGGTGATGATGATGTTTCCTATGACTTTTTTTTTAAATTTTAACAAAACTAAGATTATAATAAAGATACGATATACAAAGACAACAAATAGAAAGAAAGTA